ATCCCAGATCCCAGCGGCTGTAAAAGTGTAAAAATGGATGTATAGTAAAAAAGGAAAACGGTCGAAGGACGGGCTTCTGAGTTCGACTTCATCCAACTTCATTTTTTTCACGGTGACTTACGAGACTCACGGAAATATGACACTTTTCGCGGGAAACAAGCCGTTCTATTTATAAATCTACTCGGGAAAGGGTTGACTCAAGAAATTAATATAGATGGAGGCTCCATTTGATGGGCTCCTGGTATCGGTAAACAAAATGCTAGACTTGCTACAAATAGACCTTTCATAAGTTGTTAAAAGTGGGCGAAGCGAGCTTCAATGCCTAAGGTCGCGCAGCGACCGAGCGAACGAAGAAGTCTCGTGGCATAACCAACCAAGAAAAAAATAGAGGACTTTTAGAATGTCTAACAAAATGCAAAAAAAAAACGAATTTGGTCATATATCCAGGCATATTGACTACCTCACGCTTGGTCAGTAATGCATATTTGAAACTGAATAATGATGAAAATATAAATGTTCGTCACCTTTTGTTTTGACAGCCTGATTCCCTTCGTCATTCCAGAGGAAGCTCAATGATACCTTATGAAGATTTGGTATTTCTGAAATTTGCTGCCTGAGTCAGGAGTTCGAAACGGTAAGAAAATGCAATATGCAGCCGTGTTTCTACACGATCAAAAAACCGTTAATTTCGGAGGTAATTTGTATAAGTTGGTACATACAATAGGATTAAATGATGTGGAAAGCTTCCATGCCGGTTATTCAGACTATGAGAGTGTTCAAAAGAACGTCGAACGGGGACTTTCGCAGCAAATAGTGGGGAATAGTAGCCTTTTTGTGACTATTTTTGACTGTTTCGGTCCATCATTCGAGGCGGCGAAGTAAGCTCTGGGTCTGGAACGGTCTGGAAGCAAAATACAATGTAAACAAAGTTTGACCTGCGGCAACAGTTGCCAACGAAGAGCTACCGGTATAAAAGAACTATTGCACACTTAGATTAAGTGATTAGGTGGACTCGAAGCTACTTATTGACCTTAAATCTCTTTAGATCTATGTAAAACTTCTCAACAAGAAACGGAAAGCCATAAACTTTTTGTTCTGAATGTTCGTTTACGGGAACGAAACTCTTTTATCATCATCGTGAGTTTGTACAGATGAAGCATGACAGACTGTTTTGCATAGTTATGTCCTTCAAGTTTTCGCCCTTAACTTTGTTAAAATATTTCTAGCGTAAAGTAAATCCTATTTAATTGGAAAGAGACTGCGACTGTTCTGCAGGTTACAAATAAAGGACTGGCGGTAAAATAAGGTGGAACAGGAGCCCATTAGATGATGGGCTCCTGGGTGAAAGGTGATCTAATTAAAAGGACATAAAGGTACTACTAGTTACTGGGACTTTCGGGAAACGGCTCCCCCTCTCAAATGCATACATACCCATTGTCAGAACTTGCTCTAGACGCTATACTCGGTTTGGGAACTCATTATCTCGTCCAAGTGAAGTGAAACTATTTTAAGCCTTCTTTATCATCGTTTAATAGTATCTGACACTGAATAATTGTTTAGGCAAAAATACGTGTATAAACCCTTCTATACCCGTTTTGAGACTATGATGGGCTTTTGAGCCGTTTTGGTCTCATGAAAACGGGTATAGATTTTGCCCATCATAGTGAAACTATTTTAAGCCTTTTTTATCATCGTTTAATAGTATCTGACACTGAATAATGAATAATACGTGTATAAACCCTTCTATACCCGTTTTGAGACTATGATGGGCAAAATCTATACCCGTTTTCATGAGACCAAAACGGCTCAAAAGCTATACCGTTTGTGGTACACACCTATAAAGGGTATTATCCCCCGGTATGTTGTCACTAATTGCAAAGAAAATTTTTTTCTCCAAAGATTAAAGCATCAGAAGTTCATCAAGGATGGCTTCTTCAAAAGAATATACCGATGAACAGCTAAACTATTACAGAATTTGTTATCTAACTACTGATATACTAGCGGAGGGTCTGAGAGAAATATTTAAACAAGAATGGGACAAACTGTACAAATCAACAAAGGGAGAATGGAAAGACGAGCCTCGTAATGGAATGGACTTTTATAACGGAGAGTCTTCTCGAAATCAAAAACGAAACGCTCGTCTTTTGGACACTATGAAAAACGGAAACAGTGGGGAATGGGATTGTACAATGCTGTTTTACTCCATCCTTTTCTCTGATTGCGTCAGGACAGGTCTTAGCGCAATAGTCAGAAAAAATGTAGATGATCTACGAAAATTCAGGAATGAAGAATTTGCTCACATGCCACAAGGTAGTCTCTCTGAGATAGATTTTCAGAATGCTGTTAGCAAAGTTGATGTTGCCTTTCAAGCGCTTAGTCTTCCTACTGTAAAAATTCAAGGCCTAAAATATCACAAAACGTTTCCAACAAGACATTTAACAAAGGTCCTCAAAGAAGTTGATAATCTGAAACAAGAAGTTCAGGTCCTTGAAGATCAGCTCCAGAATGAAGCCCCCTCATTCTGTGTTCTCCCTCCTAAACCTTCGCATGAAATCGGTGGTCGTGAAAGTGAAGTAGCCAAAATAGTCCAACAGCTGAGGGAACTAAATGAGTCCAGTGACAACAGGTTGAGTTATCTGTACATCTCAGGGAATGCTGGAAGCGGCAAATCACAGCTAGCTGGCCTTGTAGCTGAGAGATTCTTTGACGACCTCAGAGAAATGTTAGGCGGGTCTTCATTTGTAATGACCTTAAATGCAGCAAGTCTAGATTCACTTCTGGAGTCGTATGCCTCATTTGCTCGCCATTTAAAGTGCCCAGACTATTCAATTGTAGAAGCCCTTAGCTCAAAGGATACGACCGTGGACGAAAAGATCACTAGTCTTAAGATGCTAGTCGCTGTAAAAATTACTTGTTACAAGTCGTGGCTACTGGTGGTTGACAATGTCACTACCATGTCATCTGTGCATGTCCATTTACCACAGGTTAATTCAAAGGCTTGGGAAAGAGGCCATTTGCTGATTACGACGCAGGACACAACGTCAATTCCTTCAAAAAGCTCTTTCGTTAATCACATTTCAGTAAGCCAAGGTATGGAACCCGATGATGCCCGTTCATTATTGTCCAAGCTTTCCGGTATCCCAGATAGCAAGCTAGTAGGAACAGTAGCACAAAGACTGGACTATCAACCTCTTGCTTTAGCAGGCGCTGCCGTCTTTGTTCAAGAGATTCGGCGCGACAAAGTATCGACGCATTTTGGGTGGGAGGAATACCTAAAGATCTTAGAAAAAGGCAAAAGGAAGACAACAGAGAATACACTTCTCGACACCAATCCAATTTATCCAAATTCAATGACCAAAGCAATAACGTTAGCCGTCGAAACACTGATGAGATCCGACGAAGTTCAAAAACACCTTTTCACTTTTCTTGCCCTCTGCGCTTCAC